CCTTTGCAAAGAGCCAGGGAGGTTTGGCACTTCCCAGAGGAGCTTTCAAGGACTTAGCACCTGAGCAAAGGTAGATCTTAGAAAGCTTTTTTTTTCTATTTCTGTCACTCCTGCATTCTTTTTCCCTTGTGAATGTTACAGTTCTATTTTTTTTTCCCCAATCAAGCCTATTTTTCTTTTAATTACTGGCAGGCCCCACCGTCCAGCCCACCACGACAGAGATGTCCGCAGAATCAAAAATGAAATGTTTCTGGTGTGCACGTGGCTGCTGAGCTAAACGCTCCACTCCCCGGAGCTCACACGGGTGCTTTCTCCCCCCAAATCTCCCTTTGAGGGAGGGGTGGCAGGGTGAGGCGGGAGCCCCCCAGCCATCCCACTGTAGGGATGCCCCACACCGCAGCCCCGCTCGTCCCAAGCCCCTGCTCCCCCATTTCCTGCAGGCTGAGGCAGCTTGAGAGCTCACTTACAGGTTCCACGAACTCAAACATCTTCCTCTCCTGAACCTCTTGCACCTTGAAGACATACTCCAGGGAGACTTCGTAGAAATGCTGCCGAACCAGGTCCACCTGGCTGTCTGCCTGCAAGCGCCGGGGAGATTAAAGAGGAAATACAAAGTCACTACTGACCGGGAGCACTTGGCCTTGTGACTGGAGGACATCTGGGTCTAATGGGAATGTGTCTGTGCAGAACAAATTCAGCTTCAGACCCCAGTCCAGGGCTGGACAGATGGCACAGTGATTAAATATAAACCTGATTCACATGAACAGGCTCTTTCTTCAGCTGAAAAAAATGTTTTTGATGACTCATGTTCTCACCTCCCTGACAGCTGTGTAGAAAAGCACGCATTACAAGCGCGAAAAATGAGAAGGCGCTGCATACTTGACAATAAAAGGCAATTCTCCGCTTTCTGGAAAGCGCCACAATGGGAGACTGCCCTGAGCATCCCAGGGCCGAACCAGGCAGTACATGTGCCCCACCACTCTCTCCAGCGAGTGTGTCACGTTGGTGGATCAGCAGACAGCAAATCCCCCCTGCTTTGCAGGTAAAGCCCAAGTGAGCAAAAATAGGGCTATGCCCCAATCTCAGTGCGTAAAAATAACCTTGCCATGCATGTGGAGCAGAGCTGCTGCATGGAAAGTGAGGTAAGGGACACGGGTACCCCCAGGCTGCCGTCCCCACCATACGTTGCTGCTACATTTGCAAGTGACACTTCGCATAGAGCAACCCGGGGGTCACCAATGCCGGCAGTGTTCACGGGGAGGTTGGTCTGGGTGACCCACCATCCCTCTGACCTCAGCACCAGTAAACTCAGCTGGGCAAAGAGCCTCACCCACAGCACAAACCACCATCGAGTCACTGCTCAACAGGAGGCAAACTCCTCTGTCCCAGCTGAGGACGACGGGATGCCCTCGCTGGCGTGACCCTCGCTGTGCGCGGGGCAGAGCCAGACCTCCAGGGAGGAGGATACGCCATACCGTGCATCCCGCCAGGGTTGGACATACGGCCACTCCTGCGCTCTGCAAAACCCAGCTGGCAAATACCCGCTTGCATTTAACAGCAGCTTACTCCTGATTTTGTGCGTGACACAGCTGTGAAACGGCCCATTTTCCCCATGACCTGCCACCAGCATTTGTGCTGCGTGCCCATGGTGCACAGGCTGAGGTATTTAGCAAACTAAGTTGTGAAAAGCAGAAAATATGATGCAATCAAATAACTTTGCCAGGAGTTAAACGGCAGATTAGGCTCTGTGTGTTATTTAATTGGTCAACAGCCAAAGCAGCAGAGAATTCCCATGGTTTCCTCCTCTCCTCGCCTCGCCGCAGCAGTTGCACATGTGGCCACTATCACCCTCCAGATGCAGACAGCAAGAGGAGGTTAGGAAATATAAAACACCAAATCTCCTGGACACAAACGCTCTTCTCTTAGGACATCACGGCGTCTAGTGAAGCCTCAGACTGCTCATAAATGGGTGGTGTTAACTTTCCTAAAACACTACTGTCCCATCAGCACCTTTCCCACGCACATCTGCTGTGGCTGCAGCCCCCTGCCTGGAAAGCTCCTTGGCAGGCAGGGACCACGGTGGGCAGCCCCAGGGGAGGTGCCGGACAGGGCAAGTGCTCCCACGTGCCGCTGGATGCCACATCCACATTTCACAGCCTACACGCTGGGCTGCTCTTTCAAAGGCACCCCCTCCTCGGTGGGGCTTGAGCCACCAAAAACAGCTTCCTAGTGCCCCAGGGGAAAAGGCCCCAACACCTGAACGTGGGAGCTGGCTCCAGCTGGCTCCAGCCTCCGCCTGCCTTCGCAGCAAAAGCCGAAGTCAAAGTTCAGGGTGGAAAATGCCAGCAGATGGCACCAGCAGCCAGCGCTGCTCAACGTTTACCGGCAGTCGCATCCTGCACAGCATCCCGCACGCAGCCACTGCCTGCATCCCGCATAGCATCCCACTGCCCTGCTGCTCTGGGCTCCCGGGCAGCCCCGCAGGGCCGTACTCTGGCCAGGGCACTGGATCACACCTCTAAAAGTCACTGCTGCAACCTGACAGCCAGAAGTGGCTCCTTCCCTCTCCAGAAAGAAATCCTTTTGCTCCTGTGTCTCACAACAGTATCTCAAACATGAACTAAAACAGAGGTTTAAAGGATAATTTAAAAGCCATGAGAATGGGACTCTCCATCTTCTGCGATGTATGGATGCTTCCACATGGTAAGTTATTTACAAACCCAGAACACCTATGCAAGGACAAAGCTGGCTTGCAGGCATGTCAACCCTGATTCTCACCCCTCTTCAACCCTGATGATTATTTGTGCCACCGATGTATCTGCTCTCAAGTCCCCAACTCTGCTGGGCACCATAACACCACCTGAGCTGTCCCAGTGCAGGAGCCACCACCTGTGCCCACCAATTCCCCCAGAAGTGGCTCAGTGACACACCAGCGTGATGCCCAAAAGCAAGGACGTGCATCCTGCAGGGACCATCCCAGCTCTGGGCCACATCAGGGAATTCCAAACTTGGAAGAAGTGACTGAAAACTCAGTGTACTCATCCAGTAAGAGCATTTGGCACAGCAGCTAACTACGTCCTGAGTCAGTAATAGGCTCTTAAAGCAGTTTAAAAGCACTAAGCCTGATCACTCCTCCCATGAAGCCCAAAGCCAGTGCAGCCACTTTCAGAGAAGGGAACTAGACATCCATGATCTGTGCTGGCACAAGGAAAGCCTGCAGCAGAACCAGTTCCTTTCTGTTGCACTCTTTAATTATAAACTCTCTCTCCTTTTTGATTGCTGTCCATTTTGGGACCTCTCTGATTTTACGGCCAGGAAAACCAATGCTATAAGCTGTGTAAAGCACGCAAAAAGCTCACCACAGTTACTGGTAGACATGGAAAACCAGAGGTTGCTCTCACCTCCTGAAGCTGGGATTCTTTCTTCTTAGAAGACAAGTTTAAGTGCTTTTCTAGGACACCACAATACTTCTCCGTCTCCTTGTCGTATTTCTTTTTGGCATCCTACAAAACAGAATAAAGAGTGTGATGCTGAACATAATGGCACCGGCGTGGCTGTGAGGATCCATGGCATCCCTATAACATCGTGCAGGACTGCGAGTCCTGGGCGGAAGCTAACCCCCTTCCGCACAGCACGGGATGGGACCAAGGCCAAGGGGCATCAGTTGGAAGTGGGCAAAGCTGCTTTTATCTGTGACCATCGGGCAGCTACAGGAAAGTGGCTTGCACTGCCAAAATCCAAGACTTGGGGGAGCCCCTCCTCTATTTCCAGAGCCCAAGGCTCGGCAAAACGTCCAGGTCCAGGGCTGGCCCAAAGACAACACAGTGAGGAAAGTGCTTGCTAACCAGCTAACCAGCACATCGTCACAATTTCACATCCCATCCCGCCACCCCTTGCAATGACGATGTGTCACTCAGGACAACGACAGTAATTTGGCTGTTTGTGGCAGAAGCGTTAAAGGAGGATATCAACCTTAACTTTTGTTTTGCACCTCTCATCCCAGCCTTGCCACCCCGACATGCCAGTAGGAAATCCACCACTGACACCTGCTAATAAGCAGCTCCTTTCTGAAGCACGCCTTTTTGTCTTTTTTTTTTTTAGCTGCACAAACCAGGACAACCTGGCCAGGCTGGGTTGCACCACGGTGCCACTGCGGCTCCCAGCGGGGAGCTGGGCACGCCGCTGCCATGCAAACACGGCCCCGCCGGGCTGGCATGTGCTTCTTGCAGGCAGCAGCAGGTTGTTATAACAACAGGAGAGGCGCAGACAGCGGTTTTAATTTCAGAACAAAGGCAGGAAAGAAAGGGGGGGCCAGGCTGTCGCTGTATCAGAGCCACCCTCAGCCACACTGGTGCTTCCCCAGGCTTGCCCGTCCTGCCAGAAGCTGTCCAAATTCCTGTGCAGCTGCCCCGCGACACACCAGGGGTGGGGAGCGCAGACTGGGGGGCTCAGGTGACTGGGAACCCCTCTAAGAAAATACTAATTCTGGTTTGGAGGAAGAAAAAATAAAGTTTACTTCAGCTGGCATGTGATTTTTGGCCCTCGGCTCACCTCGGCACATTACTCGGTTATGGGTGAACTGAGAACATTGAGGCACTTTCCCAGGAGCTGGATCGTCCCCGTCTCCATCCCACAGCAGCGCGCAGCCGTTTCCTCCCATGCCCATGCCCAGCACGGCCCATCCCTGCAGTGCACCAGGTCCCGGCCACGGCCGCCGTGCGGCTCTGGGCTCTGCTCCTGAGCCCAAGCAGGGGCTCCCAAGGTGACAGCAGCTCGGTGCAGCAGCAGCCTACCTTAGCAGCCCCGATCTGCTCCTTGCGAAACTTCTCCAGTGGCGTGATCAGCACCTCGCTGGCGTTCTCGATCTACGGCCAAAGACGGGCACAACTCACCCACCTCCTCCATGCTCCTGCCCCAGCCAGGCTGGCACAGACCTTTTGCCCAGCTCAGCCCCAGACACCAGAGATGCTCCACAGCCTTTCCCACAGCAACCCTCCTGCAGCCCACGGAAACCTGCATGCTTCACCCTCTCCAGCTCTGCACTGGCTGAGGATGCAGCGGAGGCTGAGGGGCTTGTACCAAACCTGCTCCTCACCCCAGTGAGCCCTACCACCACCAGCACCAGCCATCTTCCAACAAGACACCATTACTGATGTTCTTCAAGTGTGCCCCCCCACCAAGTTCACCCTCCCCTCCCTCCGCTCCCCCCTGCAGCTCTGCCCTGGGCAAAGGAAGGGGCAGCAGGGCTTGCAGCCACTGCACGCCGTGGTGCCCCAGGTGCCACACCACCCACCGTGCGCAGAGCCACCAGCAGCAGCAGCGGTGCCACCACCCACCCAGCTCCCGGCGGACGGGGCCGTACCATGCGCACCCGCTCGTCCTCCAGGTTCCGCAGCACTGTGGCGAACTCCTGCAGAGACTTGGCTGGAAGGGAAACACCCGCACAGTCAGCATTTAACAACATTTTATTTTATTTTTCAATTAAGAGAGAGACTGAACAGGGGGTTTTTGTTTGTTTGTATTTTGGAGGGCTTGGAGGTGTTTATCATCTTTGCTCTCTCCTCAGAAAGGCTTCCAGTTGCCTACAAAAGTAACTGGTAGAAGAGCATCCCCAGCACCGTGTTCCCACCTCCAGAGAGAAACACCACGTCTTCATCTCAAACCTGCCCTACCCAAGAGCTGGCTGCTGATCAGCTCTACGGCTCAGCGCTGGCCTCAGCTGTGCTCAGTGCACAAGTGGCAGCTCACCAGCATGTGCATCACAGCAAGGGGACTTGGATGAGAAACCTATTTTTGCTGAGAGACTGGGCACAAATAAACAAGCGAAGTTAAATCAAGGCTAAAGCTCATTTGCTCTCCTGGCTCCAGATGATGTACACAATAAGCTCTAAAAGTTCAGCTGGGGCAGAAGCGGGATAACACGGAGTAAAGGGCTGAAGCTGCTGCCCTGTGCCACAAGAAGCTCCATGGTGGAGCCCGGCTTCGGTTGGGGGAGCCCTGCCAGGCTCCGCACTGCTGGCTGCTGTTGGCCCAGTGGGTGCCTGCCGGGTCCTTCGCTCCTGCAGGCAGCAGTGAGGCTGCTGCTCCTCTCCTTCAGTTTACAGCCCCTTGCAGTGTATTTCGCCATGGCCACATCTCTAGATCCCTGCTCTCCAATGGCAAAGGGCCAGATAATCTAGATGGTTTCAGATACGGGCAATCTTCTTCCTTTCCTATGTGGCAGGGCTAGATTTAGGCCAAGAAACAGCAACTGATTTCCTTGGGAAGGCTTTGCTGATGTTGAACCAGGAGAAATATGCCATTTCCAGAGAGCAGAAAAACACCCAGACAAATTCCCGGGCCCCTTGGTATCCTCGTGTGTGTTTCTCCTCCATGCCCTGCTCAGCTCAGGAGTCTGGAGCATGGCTTCAGGGCTACCTGCGGCACCAGCACCGAGGACTCACCTATGCAGATCTCATCATCCGTTTCAGCGTCGCCGATGCAGCGGAATTTAAACTCGTTGAGGGAGTCTGCAAACTTACGCTTGGCCGCCGACAGGTCTGCCGAGAGAGCGGGAGAGGGGAAAACGCAGATGTTAGAAAAGGAAAAAGCCCACCAACAGCACCATGCAGGCAGACACGTAATCCCAGCCAGCCAGCCTCCATGGAGAGACCCATCCGACGGGGACCCCCGGTGCCAGGGAACCCCCAAGAATGCTGCCCTTCTCCTGCACCCACCCCAGGGACGCGGCTCTGTGGAGTCCCAGCCAGCACCCACCAAAATACACTATGGGAGATGAAACCGCAGAATACCAGGAGAACCATGCAGGAGCTCAAGCCCAGTGCCACAGGGCAGTGGCAAACGGCAATGCAGGGCAGCACTGCCAGGGCAGCTCCCATGCTGCCCGCCAAGAGACGGCACCTCTGCACAGGCTCCCAGGCCCGCTGAACAAAGGCAC